TAAATTGTCACCTCCAACTCTCGTTACGCTCCCCCTCTCTCTCTACGGGTATCTCAGTCCACGTGCTGTCAAGAAGGACTGTTGCCCGAAACGTTGACGACGAGATATGTGTTCGTCTTGTTCTCCTTCTTAAGCTTACGGCGGTGTTTTGTTGTTGTCGCTGTTGTTGTTTTTGTCGCTGTGGCTGTTGGTGTTGTGGCTGTTGTTGTTGTTGTCGCTGTGGCTGTGTTGTGGCTGTTGTTGCTGTTGTTGTTCGCTGTGGCTGTTGTTGCGTTGTGGCGTGTGTTGTGTCGCTGGCTGTTGTGTTGTCTGTCGCTGTGGGCATGTTGTTGTGTGGTTGTGTTGTGTCGCTGTGGCTGTGGTGTTGTGGCTGTTGTTTGCTGTGGTCGCTGTGGCTGTTGTTGTCGGCTGTTGCTGTTGTTGTTGTTCAGCTGTGGGCTGTTAGTTGTTACGCTGGGCTGTTTGTTGTTGTCGCTGTGGCTGTTGTTGTTGTTGTCGCGGGCTGTGGCTGTTGTGTGCGCTGTGGCTGTTGTTGTTGTTGTCGCTGTGGCTGTGTTGTTGTTGTTGTCGCTGTGACTGTTGTTGTTGTCGCTGTGGCTGTTGTTGTTGTTGTCGCTGTGGCTGTTGTTGTTGTTGTCGCTGTGGCTGTTGTTGTTGTTGTCGCTCTGGCTGTTGTTGTTGTTGTCGCTGTGGCTGTTGTTGTTGTCGTTGTGGCTGTTGTTGTTGTTGTCGCTGTGGCTGTTGTTGTTGTCGCTGTGGCTGTTGTTGTTGTTGTCACTGTCGCTGTTGTTGTTGTCGCTGTCGCTGTTGTTGTTGGACACGGCGCGTGTTGTGAGGCGACGTTTTGCTGTGCTCTGTGCACCACTGCCAAACGCAGCAGCAGCAGCGTCGTTAAAGCCAGTCTGTCTCTCTCTGTCAGTCTGTCTCTCTCTGTCAGTCTGTCTCTCTCTGTCGGTCTGTCTCTGTGTGTCTCTCTCTCTGTCTGTCTCTGTGTGTCTCTGTGTGTCTCAGTCTGTCTCTCTCTCTCTGTGCCTCTGTCTGTCTCTCTGTCTGTCTCTGTGTGTCTCTCTCTGTCTTTCTCTGTCTGTCTCTGTGTGTCTCAGTCTGTCTCTCTCTGTCTATCTCTGTGTGTCTCTGTCTTTCTCTGTCTGTCTCTGTGTGTCTCAGTCTGTCTCTGTGTGTCTCAGTCTGTCTCTCTCTCTGTCTGTCTCTGTGTGTCTCTGTGTGTCTCAGTCTGTCTCTGTTTGTCTTTCTGTCTGTCTCTTTCTGTCTGTCTCTGTCTGTCTCTTTCTGTCTGTCTCTGTGTGTCTCTGTGTGTCTCAGTCTGTCTGTTTTCTCTGTCTCTGTGTGTCTCAACCTATCTGTCTCTGTGTGTCTTTCTCTGTCTGTCTCTGTGTGTCTCAGTCTGTCTCTGTCTGTCTTTCTCTGTCTGTCTCTTGTGTGTCTCAATCTGTCTCTCTCTTTCTGTCTCTGTGTGTCTCAGTCTGTCTTTCTGTGTCTGTCTCTGTGTCTCAGTCTGTCTCTGTGTGTATCAGTCTCTCTCTCTCTCTCTGTCTCTGTGTCTCTCTCTGTGTGTCTCTGTGTGTCTCAGTCTGTCTCTCTCTGTCTGTCTCTGTGTGTCTCTGTGTGTCGCAGTCTGTCTCTCTCTGTCTCAGTCTGTCTCTCTCTGTCTGTCTCTGTGTGTCTCTGTGTGTTTCAGTCTGTCTCTCTCTGTCTGTCTCTGTGTGTCTCAGTCTGTCTCTGTGTGTCTCAGTCTGTCTCTCTGTCTGTCTCTGTGTGTCTCAGTCTGTCTCTGTGTGTCTCAGTCTGTCTCTCTCTGTGTGTCTCTGTGTGTCTCTGTGTGTCGCAGTCTGTCTCTCTCTGGCGACACTGCCCCTGACTATCCTAATGTTAACTTCATCATCTATGTGCACAGTGCGAGACAGAGTACTACCAAGGTAAGTAAACTTGTCAATGGCTGAAAGCTTTTGCCCATTCACAAAGATGGTGAGCTCAGTGTAGGGTTTTCCAGGAGCAGGTTGGTATAGGACTTCAGTCTTCTTTGTGCTGATTGTTAGGCCGAAGTTGTTACAAGCCAAGGAGAAGTGGTCCATATTGTCCTGTAGATCTTTATTTGAGCCAGCAGCCAGAGCACAGTCATCAGCAAAAACAATTCTCGAACAGTGACTTCCTCCAACTAGTTTTGGCTTGCATCCTCCGCAGATTGAATAGCCACCGTCAAACGGTAGATGAAGCTAATCCCAGTGTTGTGGTTCTGGAAGGAGTCTTGCAGCATGGCAGAAAACACCATGCTGAAGAGCATTGGTGCTAAAACGCAGCCTTGCTTCACCCCGTTTGTGATTGGGAATGGATCAGGGAGTTCTTGCTGGTCTCTGACGCTGGCCAACATACCAGTAGTAGAAGACCTGCATTGCTGTTACATTTTCCAATGCCATGTGCACCTATGACTCCATTCCATAATTGATGGTCACTTCCAACTCTGGTGTTGAAGTCACCAAGTATCAGGAGTTTGTCCGAGCTGGCTGTGGCAGCAATAATGACTTCCAGGTCATCATAAAACTTGGTTTTGATCTCGTCGGAGTTGGTCATGGTAGGGGCATAGGCAATGATGATGGTGGCCTCCTTTTTACCCAATAGATGGAGCTTTAAGGTCATTAAACGGTCGTTTAAACCCTTGGGTTGGCTTGCCAGTTAGTTGACCAGGTGTTTTTTACTGCAAAACCAACACCAGCATCACGTCTCTCCTCCTGGCCTCGTCCGCTCCAGAAGAATGTGTAACCTGCACCCACTTCAGTCACCTGTCCAGTATTGGCCAGTCGGGTCTCACTAAGGGCAGCAACATCCACATTGTATCTGGCTAGCTCTCTGCCCACCAGGGCGGTGCGTCTCTCAGGTCTTTTTTTATCCAAATGTGTCCATCAAAGTGCGCACATTCCAGGCGCCAACAGTGAGTGGTATCATTTCGATTTAAAGCTTTCGTGACTGCAGGGATTCATCTTCTTGGTTCTTTCGGTAAAGTCACGTAGAAGAAAAGTAATAAAATAATAAAATAAAACATAAAAAAATAATTCTCACGTTTCGGCCACAACGCAAGCAGCCGTCCACAGGTGAAAACCAGGTCTGTCGAGGCGACAGTGTCTGAATGAAACAGCACATGTGCTTGGAGCATATATATATAAGCTGGGTTGGAAGGGGGGGAAAGGGCGCCTTGACAAAATAATTTGCATATCAAGAGGAATTTAGCATATTTATGGGAAATGCAGGTATGTGATTAGTACTAATTATGCCCGTGCATTATGCAGGATTCGCAGCATCAAAGGGAGGGGATAGGGGTAGCATTAATAAAGGGAAGAAGTGTTATTAGTATGTAGCTGCAGTAACTAAAACCACCACGTAAACAACTAAAGTATAAAGTACATAGTATCATCAGTATACTAAATATACTCTACAATAAGCTGAGTTACTAACAGTAAGTAATACATTACAATTCTACGTCGTAAAAATATAATATGCTTCCATCTAAACTTTTTCTCTTACATCACACGAGTCTACACCGTACTATATACTGCCATAGACAAACCCAACATTAAATTACATACTGTATTGCTATAAACCTATGTATTATTCTACCCACCCTAATGTATATCACACTGCTGTATATTAACTATACAATTACGATACTATATATTACTTTGTACATTGTATTAAGCTGCGGAGAATACAATGCCAGTGAGTGGAACGCGGTCTGAAAGTCACCATAAACGTGAACACAATCAGTTAAGATCCGAAATGGTTTATTACGTCCTTCCAATGATTGCTAAGCCAGAATCCATCTTCTCGGTTGAAATTGTCTGTGTTTGTATATGTGGATCGCCTCATGAACGAATCTCTCATGGTAGCCAGATGGCTTGCAGAGAACCTCTGTCTTGGAGAAGTCAATATCATGTGAGCTCACTGAATTGTAACAGTGATCTGCCACGGATGAGGTGTTTGTCCTACCGTGTTTCAAGTCTGCTTTATGTTCACGGATGCGGTCCGAGACATGTCGTTTGGTTTCTCCAATGTAACTGCTACCACAGAGGAAACTTAGTTTGTAGACGCCATGGTACTGTATGTCTAGAACCACATCTTTTACAGACGGGACCAGATTACGGATTTTATGTACGGTGTTGAATCGGGCCTGGATCTTGTGTTTTATCAAGATTTGGAGATCCTTTTTGTGACCCCAACAATGTAGTAGATAGTGTATAGTAGTGTACAGTAGTGTATAGTAGTGTATCGTCGTGTTTAGTAAAGTGTAGTAGTGAATAGGAGTGTATAGTCGTGTATAGTAGTGGATAGTAGATGGTGTATAGTAGTGTATAGTAATGTGTAGTAGTGTATAGTAGTGTTTAGTAATGTGTAGTAGTGTATAGTAGTAGATAGTAGTGTTTAGTAGTGTGTAGTAATGTATAGTAGTGTATATGTAATGTGAGGATATATCCGGGTTGCTGATGGATCACACCTCGTTATGATGATTGGCTCTGCCGGTCCTGGCCCATAGCCAATGGGGGGAAGTCTAGGGGCGTGGCCCTGACGTAATGGGAAGGTGACATCTGTAAGTAGAGGATTGGTTCTGCTGGCTTTAGCCACAGCCAATGGGGTGACGAGTCAGGGGCGTGGTCCCGGGAGCATACGATGGAGTCAAGAAGATTCCAGAGGTTAACCAGGATTGGTGGAAAGGTACCACGTGACCCGCGTATTAAAAGGGGTGGAGACGATCAACACGTGGTCAGATCTGGTAATGTATAGTAGTGTATAGTAATGTATAGTAGTGTATAGTAGTGTTTAGTAGTGTATAATAGTAGTGTTTAGAAGTGTGTAGTAGTGTGTAGTAGTATATAGTGTCTAGTAGTGTGTAGTAGCAGTGGCGGCTCCTGCTAAATCTCTCAGGGGGGGCAAATGTCTGGATGATTGTTAAGGTCCACCCATGCAATGGATAAATTAACAGCTTAAGCATGTAAAGGCAACTTTACTTCTTTAATATTAATGAAAAATAAAGTGACTCTTACAATACATCTTGTTTGTTTCTATACTCACTATTAATTAAATCCACTCAAGTTTCTTTTATTAAAGATTCCACTAGGTGGCGACAAATTATATTGTTGGATGAAACGTGCTTACGTATGATGAAGTAAGCACGTTAGGGCGAGCCCTCCCGGAAGCCATAGAGAATGCATGGCAGCGCCCCCGTTCGAAAAAAAACATCTTTGAATGTAAGTCTATGGGGCCACTCGGGGCGATTCTCAGCCGGAGTGAAATCGCCCAAAAAGAGGCGGTACTCCACAGAACGTGACATGACGCTGATTGGACTTTATACAGAGGCACAGTGACGGCTAGCGTGACTCTGTGGTTGAATGACATTGGTGGTGCGTCGCCCAATCGCCCTAATGAAGAAACCGCCCCTGTGTAGTAGTGTGTAGTAGTGTATATGAGTGTATAGTAGTGTTTAGTAATGTATAGTAGTGTATAGTAGTAGTGTATAGTAGTGTATAGTAGTAGATAGTGTATAGTATATAGTAGTGTACAGTAGTGTATAGTAATGTATAGTAGTAGTGTATAGTAATGTATAGTAGTCGTGTATATTAATGTATAGTAGTAGTGTGTAGTAGTGTATAGTAGTAGATAGTGTATAGTAGTGTCTAGTAGTGTGTAGTAGTGTAGAGTGCAATAGTGCTAGAGTCTGTCGCCAGGGAAAGGGAGATCTGGACTAAAAAATGAACGAAACGAAGGAAACGAACGAATGTTTTTAGTTTTTCTTGATTTTTTTTTGTCTTGAGCACGTAACTGTGGAAACACGTAATCGCAAGTGTGAAGTCTGCTCCTAAAATATTAATCGCTTAACTGCGGATTTGCGCTATGGGGGGAGAGAGGGGGAATGGGGGGGGGAAGCGTTAGACGAGGGACGTCTGCAGGAGTCTCTGGGTTCTCGGCGGTCCCTGAACCAAGACCTCAATACACCCGGAGACGACTCGGAGACGATGCAGGGACTCAGCGGACTCCGCACAGAGCTGCTGCCGATACTGATGATGGTGGTGGTGATGCTGATGGTGGCGGTGATGATAATGGTGGTGGTGATGGTGATGGTGAGACACGGGCTGTGTGGTTCTACTGCTGATGATGATGATGAGACACGGGCTGTGTGGTTCTACTGCTGATGATGATGAGACACGTGCTGTGTGGTTCTACTGCTGCTGATGATGAAACATGGGCTGTGTGGTTCTACTACTGATGATGATGATACACGGGCTGTGTGGTTCTACTGCTGATGATGATGAGACACGGGCTGTGTGGTTCTACTGCTGATGATGATGAGGCACGGGCTGTGTGGTTCTACTGCTGATGCTGATGATGAGACACGGGCTGTGTGGTTCTACTGCTGATGATGATGAGACACGGGCTGTGTAGTGCTACTGCTGATGAGACACGTGCTGTGTGGTTCTACTGCTGATGATGATGATGAGGCACGGGCTGTGTGGATCTACTGCTGATGATGAAGAGACACGGGCTGTGTGGTTCTACTGCTGATGATGATGAGACACGGGCTGTGTGGTTCTACTGCTGATGATGATGATGAGCCACGGGCTGTGTGGTTCTACTGCTGATGATGATGAGACACGGGCTGTGTGGTTCTACTGCTGATGATGATGAGACACGGGCTGTGTGGTTCTACTGCTGATGATGATGATGATGAGGCACGGGCTGTGTGGTTCTACTGCTGATGATGATGATGAGACACGGGCTGTGTGGTTCTACTGCTGATGATGAGACACGGGCTGTGTGGTTCTACTGCTGCTGATGATGATGAGACACGGGCTGTGGTTCTACTGCTGATGCTGATGATGAGACACGGGCTGTGTGGTTCTACTGCTACTGATGATGAGACACGGGCTGTGTGGTTCTACTGCTGCTGATGATGAGACACGGGCTGTATAGTGCTACTGCTGATGATGATGATGAGACACGGGCTGTGTGGTTCTACTGCTGATGCTGATGATGAGACACGGGCTGTGTGGTTCTACTTCTGATGATGATGAGACACGGGCTGTGTGGTTCTACTGCTGATGATGATGGTGGTGAGATACGGGCTGTGTGACGGAAGCAATTTGCATAGTCGTGATGGGCACACCGAGAGAGCACAGCAAGACACCGCCACTTCGCTCGGTTCCCCAACAATGAATTCCCCCCTCCCATAGCCCCGCAACAACAGCAGTAACAACAACAACGACGACGACCACGTGAGGAGTCACGCAGCTCAGGCGTGACAGTCGGTCGAGATTAATTCGGTGAACACTCTGCCGAGAGAAAGAAACGAACACCCGAAGCAAAACAAACAAACCAACCAACCGATGTACACGCGACAAAACACTCACAAATCATAACGAGGCAACACGTGGCGTGACGGTGGCGGTCGGTGGGGAAGCGACGTCACACAGTGGGGCCGTGCACGCCGATTCGCGAGATGAGTGACGTCACAATTAAGCCATGCTGGTGATTCCACGTGTCACACGAGTGGCCAATAAGTCAGAGTTCATTACATAAACACCCCCCCACCCACCATCACAACCCAGACCGCGTTTCCGGCAGCGTTATTCGCCTGCACGGATTTCCCCACGAAGTGGATCTAGGCGCACCAGCACCGCACGGGGTCCAGCCACTCGCAATTGGCCAATCCAAGCGAAGCCGGCGAATCATTAATTCGTTAATTAGTTAATTATAAGTCGCCAGTCCGCGACAAATTGCCGCGTTGATCGAAACACCGACCACGAATCCGCGATCGACTCGGCGAGGCCAAATGGCAGGGAGAGCACCGATGAAGCGACACCCCCCCCCCCGTCTCTACTCGCCCCCCCTGTCTCTACTCACAGAGTGGCGGACATCGTCCAGAAAGGAAGGGGGGGGAGGTGAGACGATTACCTGAATCGTTCCCACCACCCCAACCCCCGTTCACTATTTTCACTTCCATCCGACTGAGTGAGGTTCCTCTGCCAGCACCCCGAGGAGCGACTCCCCCCACCCTCTTCCCCCCCCCCCTCTCTTCCCCCCTCTCAGTCCCCCTTTCTCATACAACGCCGCAGCACCGCGACCATATGAAGGAATTCGAAAACTGGACTCGAAACTCCATCGGGGCTCGGGGAGGGGTCGTGGGGGGGGGGGTCGTGGGGGGGTCAGAGTCCAATTTTAAATTGGAGTAGAAGGGTGGGGGGGTAGAATGGAATCGGATTCGGGAGAATTAACATCGGAGTCGAACTGGATCTAATTTCGCCTACGAGCCGATTCGGAAAGCAAACACCAGTGGGGGGTTAGAGGGGATAAAGGAGATACCCCGAACACCCCCCTCCCCTCCACCCAGGCTGAGGGGGACCAGTTCCGGTTCCTGTCTAGTCCCTGGTCAATCCAAGAGTCCCTTCAGAATCCCCTTGATGGACGTGTCCATCCCTTTGGAACCCACCCCCTGGATATCTGGGAGATGCTTTGAGGTCCCCTCTAGTGACACCCTCATTCCCTTGGCATCCCACTTGAGGACCACATAGGGGGGGTCCACACATCCCCTTGCAATCCCCGTCGTAGAGTCAAGACGATGTCCCTTTGAACGCAACATGGGGGGGGAGCGGCTGCACACCCCCAGGAACAGCAGCGGCAGGCCCCCAGGTTTCCAGTGTGGGGGTCCCCCTCCCCACACCCGGGCCACGTGGTGAACTCATCCCCTTCCATCATCGTGGTCGTCATCGTCATCACCACGTGGGGCCCAACAAGGCCTGGAGGTCACGTGATGCACGACCACGTGACGCACGACCACATGTTCTTGGAACGGCGTCTGAGGAACACGCAGATCCCAGCGTGTTGACGCCTGTTTACCGGTCCGACTTGTTTATGTTGACTCGTCTTTGTTTACTTGTCTGTTTGCTCGTCTTTGTTGACGTGTCTATTTGTCTCCTCGGTTGACTCGTTTTTGTTGACTTGTCTTTGTTGACTGATTTGCGTCGTCTCAATTCGTCCGTTTGCGAGTGTCGTCGTGTACCCGTTGCTCTACCTGGTTGTTGTTGTCCACACCACGTTTAAAATAGTCCACCAGCTGGGAGGCGACCCCGACTACTCGGCTCCACCCCCTCGTCCACCCTCTCTCGTAATCGTTACAACATTTTCCGTAACAATATATTTTTTCTTCTAAGTTTGAATTTTTTGTTGTCATTTATTTCTCAAAGTCAAAAAAACCCCCCACCCGAAAAAACTCGAACATCATCAACATCATCATAAACATTATAATAATAATCATAATAATAATTAAAAACGTGTTAAAACGTTAACAAGCAAAAGGCAAACAGAAGCGAAAGGAGCCCCACCCCAATTGGGGATCAAACCCCGTCACGCGGAACACTCCAGGCAGGGGACTGGGCGGGTGTGTGTCAGTGTGCGTGTCAGTGTGTGTGTGTCAGTGTGTGTGTTAATGTGTGTCAGTGTGTGTGTTAATGTATGTCAGTGTCAGTGTGTGTCAGTGTGTGTCAGTGTGTCAGTGTGTGTGTCAATGTGTGTGTCAATGTGTGTGTCAGTGTGTGTCAATGTGTCAGTGTGTGTCAATGTGTGTCAGTGTGTGCGTGTCAATGTGTGAGTGTCAGTGTGTCAGTGAGTGTCAGTGAGTGTCAGTGAGTGTCAGTGTCAGTGTGTGTGTCAGTGAGTGTCAGTGTCAGTGTGTGTGTCAGTGTGTGTGTGTCAGTGTGTGTGTGTCAGTGTGTGTATGTCAGTGTGTGTGTGTCAGTGTGTGTATGTGTCAGTGTGTGTCAGTATGTGTGTATGTCAGTGTGTGTATGTCAGTGTGTATGTGTCAGTGTGTCAGTATGTGTCAGTGTGTGTGTGTATGTCAGTATGTGTGTCAGTGTGTGTGTGTCAGTGTGTGTGTGTCAGTGTGTGTGTGTCAGTGTGTGTGTGTGTCAGTGTGTGAGTGGAGCGGTAGTGTAGCGGTGAGCGCGCACTGCGCTAATGAACCCGGCGACCCGAGTTCGATTCCTGCTCACGACCACCACTAGTGACGATTATCTGAATCGTTCCTGAGAACCTCCCCTAGGTCGACTCAGCCTCAAATGAGTATCAGGTACTAAACATCGCCACTAGGGAGATAAAGGCGACCGGGCGTGGTATTGGCCACCCAACCCCCTCGTGTGCCGTGCCGGCCTTCAAGGGTGCTCGCTAACAGCACTTGCCCTAACAGTCTGTTACAGGCTATACGGGGGATCTTTGTTTGCGCGTGTCTTTGTGGGAGTGTTTGTGAGCGTCTTTGTCTTGGTGGGAGTGTTTGTGAGTGTTTTGTGAGTCCTTGTACGAGTGTATTTGTAGCGTTACAGCCGCACCTACAGCCGGCGGCTGGGTGCTTCAGCCCATCATCCTGCCCTCCTTCTCAGGGTCGATAACATGAGTACCACTTTGTGTGTGTGTATGTATAGGCGAGTTAAATAGAGACTTACTCGGCCCCGTCATAGGAATGTGGAATATCCACCACTGGACCTCTATGGATTCGTGCTTTTGTAATCGATCAGATAAATTAGCCAATTAGCGCACTCGCCAATCAGTGAGCCCACCAACCAGTGAGTCCACCAACCAGTGAGTCCACCACTCAGTGAGTCCACCAATCAGTGAGTCCACCAATCAGTGAGATGAAGCGAAGAATTCAAACAAAACCAGAACAGTGGAGAGCAGAGACAACACCAGCGGCAACAGCGCCCTGCAGTGTCCCAGCGTGCATGGTTGACGGGTGGTGGAAGTACAGCAAGGGGGTTGGGTGTGTACCTGTGTGTGTCCGCCCGTGTGTGTGTGTCCGTCCGTGTGTGTCCCTGTGTGTGTGTGTCGCTGGCCACCAACCCCCGCGTAGGGCCCCTCGGACCGTGTAGGGCTCCGCTCATCCACTGCTGGATGAGTCGCCTCGGACATCTCGTCCGAGGCGACTGCCATGTGAGCGCACTAAGACCCCGTTGCCGGTCAGCGTCGGTGGTTGCCACCCCCTACTCTGCAAGCCGATCTGAGCTGCCCACGTGCACTCTGGGAGACGAAGTTGGTCAAACAAAGGCGTCATATCGTCATCGCTGTTGAAGTTTATTATAATTAATAACTTCATTGTTATCGTCATCGCTGTTGAAGTTTATTATAATTAATAACTTCATTGTTATCGTCGTCGCTGTTGAAGTTTATTATAATTAATAACTTCTTGTCGTCATCGTCGTCATAGACGGTGATGGTGGCGGTGGCGACGATGCACAAAGCACGGCCAACGACACTCGGCCGCCACCGTGTCCATGGACACTGCTCCCCCCCCCCCCGTGCCATGGAGAAAGAACATTGCCTGAAACGTCGCTCGAGATGTTTCCCTTGTTAAGGTCGCCAGGTGTCGCGTGGTTGATGAGCACACGGCGGGGGGAGATGGGGGAGACGTCGGGGGGAGGGGACGTGAGGGGGGAGACGCGGGGCATGGAGCAGCGCACAGGCAGCAGGCAGACGACTGCGCGTGGTGTCAGGATTGGAGTGACACGGAGACTCGGGCCGGCATGCAGCAAGCAGCGGCATGAGCGTGGCCGCCTCGACCAATCACACGAGCAAATGTCCTGTCGTGTGTGCGGTGTTTGGCGTGTGGTGTGTGTGGTGTGTGTGGTGTGCGTATGTGTGGTGTGTGTGGTGTGTGTGGTGTGTGGGGTGTGTGGTATGTGCGGTGTGGTGTGTGTGGGGTGCGGTGTGTGTGGTGTGTATGGATGACAATCTGGCGGCTGAATGCGAGTGGGGGCCATGAGGGGCCCCCACCAGAGCCTTGCGTGGCGTTGCCAAGGGGACCAGGGACCCCAGAGAGACGCCAAATGCCCCCAACTCTAACCCCCAACCCCTAAGCCCCAACTCTAACCCCCAACCTCTAAGCACCAACTCTAACCCCCAACCCCTAAGCCCCAACTCTAACCCCTAACCAAGGTGGGACTAAACTACCACATCACACACACACAGTGGGTACACACACACACTGGGTACGCACACACACACTGGGTACGCACACACACAGTGGGTACACACACAGGGTACACACACACACAGTGGGTATGCACACACACAGGGTACACACACACAGTGGGTACACACACACACATATACTGCATATCCTGTGAGTGCGACGCATGCACGCCCCTGTGCACCAGGTGCCTGTGTCGAACTCTCACTCCACAGCTCAGAGCTCAGGGGCGATCGTACCCAGACCACGGCCGCCCCAACCTGCAGGTCCCCACAGGGCTGCCCCCCCGCCCCCTGCTTAGTGGTGGCAATTAGGGTTAGGGGTGGCAATTAGGATTAGGGGTGGCAATTAGGATTAGGGGTGGCAATTAGGATTAGGGGTGGAAATTAGGGTTAGGGGTGGCAATTATGGTTAGGGGTGTAGGGGTGGCAATTAGGGTTAAGGGTGGCAATTAGGGTTAAGGGGGGCAATTAGAGTTTGGGGTGGCAATTAGGGTTAAGGGTGGCAATTAGGGTTAGGGGTGGCAATTAGGGTTAGGGGTGGCAATTAGGGTTAGGGGTGGCAATTAGGGATAGGGGTGGCAATTAGGAATAGGGGTGGCAATTAGGATTAGGGGTGGCAATTAGGGTTAGGGGTGGCAATTAGGGTTAAGGGTGGCAATTAGGGTTAGGGGTGGCAATTAGGGTTAGGGGTTCGTGAGTGTAGGCCGTGTAGTGGACGTAGGGGCTATAGGGGACGTAGGGGATGTTAGGGCTTGAGGGGGGGGGGGAAGTTTGGGGTGTGGAGTCTGCGTCTGTTGCGCCCCCTGGCGGCTGCAGGACACCTGGACACGCGAGGAGCCCAACCTGGGGGGGACGCTCGCCACCTCCAGCGGCCGCAGAACTAACAAAGGGGGGGCCGCTCACGGTTTGAAGGTACCACCACCATCATCATCATCGTCGTCGTCGTCGTCGTCATCATCATAGTCACCGTCGTGGTCGTCATTGTCACCATCACCATCATCATCCTCCTCGTCCTCGTCGTCTTACCACAGTGGGGGGGAATGGAGCAGTGGAAGGAGGGATGGGGGGGAAGGGGGTGGGAGGGGGGGAGGGGCGCCCACCGAACATGACCACCATGGCGACCGTGACCGACCCGGCCGCTCGCCCGCTCGGCCAAACTCAACCGTGACCCCGCCGTGGTGACCCCGCCGTGGTGACCCCATAGCCCCCACCGACACCCTTTGGGGGTGTGCGGGAGGGGGGCTGAGGGGTCAAAGGTATAGGGCCACGCAGCCGTCGTCGCCCGGCCGTGCCGGCGACCTTGAGAACGTTCTGTCGCCGCGTGGCCGCTGCGCCGGACAGCCGCCGATACGGTGGGCGTGCGGCGACGGCGGTCTGCGGCGGCAGGGGCCGGACGGGGTTAGGCCGACGCCGGGCGGACCTCACGAGAATGACTCGCTGGTGGCCAGCGGTGCCGGCTGGCCCGAGCCGGGAGCGACGGTGACTCCGTTGCTGGCGCCGCCACCGTCCCCGGCGGCGTCGTGGTGGTTGTGGTGGTGGTGGCGCGCCGTCGGCTCCGCGTCCTCGTCGGCGTCCGAGCCGTCGATGGAGGGGATGTCGGCCATGATGTCGAAGTCGGGGTGGGGCATGAAGTCGTCGATGGAGCCGCGCGTCTCGGGCCGCCCCACGTCCTCGTACAGTGAGCTACGAAATGCTTTGACTACGCGGATCTGCACGGCGGGTAGGGGACATGGGGGGGGGGGTGGGGACACGGGGGGGGGGGGGGGCAGCACGATGGAGTGGCGGTTAAGACATTGTGGAGGTGCGGTTGTGAAGGGGACGGAGGAGGGGTTTGTGGGGTTTAGGGGTGGACTTGTAGAGGTTTGGGGTTATGGGTTAAGGTTTAGGGAGATAGCGGGGAAGTGTTGGGTTTAATGATTAAGGAGTTAGGAGTTAATGGGATTCGTGTTAGGGGGTAGAGATTAATGTTAAGGGTTATAGGAGTATGGGGTTAGTGTTATGGGTTCAAGGTTAGTGTTTGGGGTTCAGGGTTAGTGTTAAGGGTTCAAGGTTAGTGTTAGGGGTTCATCGTTAGGGTCACGGGTTCAGGGTTAGGGTCACGGGTTCAGGGTTAGTGTTAGGGGTTCAGGTTAAGGGTTAATGGTTAGTGTTTGGGGTTTAGGGTTAGTGTTAGGGGTTCAAGTTAAGGGTTAATGGTTAGTGTTAAGGGTTCAGGTTTAGTGTTAGGGGTTCATGGTTAGGGTCACGGGTTCAGGGTTAGGGTCACGAGTTCAGGGTTAGTGGTTCATGGTTAGGGTCACGGGTTCAGGGTTAGGGTCACGGGTTCAGGGTTAGTGTTAAAGTTAGTGTTAATAGTGCCAGGGTTTAGGGGTCAGGGGTCAGTTTAGAGACCAGAGTGACCATGGTAGGTAGCGTCACGGATCAGGGGGTTGTGGGTAACGCGTGTATAGGGTTGTAAAGGGATTACAGTTCGGGATCGTGGGTTTGGTTTATGGTAAGCGGGTATGGGTTATGGGTTTGGAATTGGGGTTATCAGTTAGAGGTTAGGGATTGTGGATTATGCACAGGTAAGGTTAGGGGTCATGGTTCGTGGTAATGCATGACTCGTACACCAATTCATGCCAACCAAAACCAGCGCGATGGTGGTGATGGTAGTGGTGGCGATGTGAGTGATAGTAGTGATGGTGGTGATGTGTGAGTGTTGGTGGTGATGTGTGAGTGTTGGTGGTGATGTGTGAGTGTTGGTGGTGATGTGTGAGTGTTGGTGGTGATGTGTGAGTGTTGGTGGTGATGTGTGAGTGATGGTGGTGATGGTAGTGGTGGCGATGTGAGTGATGATGGTGGTGATGTACGAGTGTTGGTGGTGATGCGAGTGATGTGTGAGTGATGGTGGTGGTGATGTGAGTGATGATGGTGGTGATGCGAGTGATGTGTGAGTGATGGTGGTGGTGATGTGAGTGATGATGGTGGTGATGGTGGTCATGTGTGAGTGTTGGTGGTGATGTGTGAGTGATGTGCAAGTGATGGTGGTGATGGTGGTGATGATGGTGGTGATGTATGAGTGTTGGTGGTGATGTGAGTGATGTGTGAGTGATGTGTGAGTGATGTGCGAGTGATGTGCGAGTGGTGCGAGTGATGCGAGTGATGGTAAAACAAAACACAAAACAAAAAGTGCAAGAGCTAAACAACACGCACACACGCATGCACACGCACACACGCACGCATGCACACACATGCAATGGCAACACACAGTGACGCACACACAATCCACCCTACACACAGATACGATGATTGCATCATGCTTGCTCCACTGCTGCAGGAGAGAGAATGAGACAGAGAGAGAGAGAGAGAGATCGGACTCCGTGCAAACGTCCCGAGATGTCTGTCGGAACGAGGGGAACTCAAACTGAGGAAGGAGGAAGGCGATTGACGCATTGGGGGGAGGAGAAGAGGAGGAAGAGGGAGGCACGAGGGTGTGGGGAGGGAGGCACGAGGGTGTGGGGAGGGAGGGGCATGATGGGAGGTTGGCAGGGGAGGGAGGCGCTGTGAGAGGAGGGGGACGGTGGGAGTGGAGTGGAAGCGAGGTGAATCGAGTGGAAGCGAGGTGAATCAGCACTCGATGGTTGGGGCCAGAGGGAGCGAGAGTGAGGGGAGGTCCCTAGAGAGCACGAGGCAAGCGAGGGGGTAGCGAGGGGGTAACGAGGGGGGAGCGAGGGGGGAGCGAGGGGGGAGCGAGGGGGGAGCGAGATGCAGTGAGACGGAGAGTGAGGGGATGACCCAGGGAGCGCGACAGGCAGAGCGTCCACAAACGGCAAAGACGGAGAAGCAAGGAGGAAGCGAGAGGAAGCACTCACACCCCCCGGAGGAGAGGAGCGGGTGGTGTGGGGTGGAGCCGCCCGCGTCGTGCGTGCGCGAGTAGTGACACGCCACCGTCGCCTGCCTCCGCAGGGTCCCCTGGAAAGGGGGTCCGCCCTGAAACGCCGTCACCACCCCCATCTGGGCCGGAGAGGGGGGGGGCGGACAGCAGCAGCGATAGCAGAGGGGGGTACCGGAGAAAGGGGGGCCATCGGGAGAGAGTGGGGCAGGACGGGGGGGAGGAGTGGGGGTCAGCGGCGGGGAGGAGCCGGGGTTGCTGTGACGATCGTCTGGCCGACCGCTCTCGTGGTAAGTCCCATGCTTCCGCCCTCGCTCTGCACTGCGCCAAATATCCCAAAAGTTTTGTATCATGAGGCTCGTCCCACTTTAAAGCTATTTAAACTAAATTTCGATTTAAAGCTTTCGTGACTGCAGGGATTCATCTTCTTGGTTCTTTTGGTAAAGTCACGTAGAAGGGAAGTAATAAAATAATAAAAATAAAACATAATAAAATAAAATAATTCTCACGACGTTTCGGCTACAACGCAAGCAGCCGTCTTCAGGTGAAGAATGAGACAATGCCAAGCTAGGAGCTTATATATAGGCGCTCTTTCTTCCACCTCCAACGCAGCTTATATATAAGCCCCTAGCTTGGCATTGTCTCATTCTTCACCTGAAGACGGCTGCTTGCGTTGTAGCCGAAACGTCGTGAGAATTATTTTATTTTATTATGTTTTATTTTTATTATTTTATTACTTCACTTCTACGTGACTATTTAAACTATTTTTTTTACTCTACCAGTTAAGGCCCCCAACTTAGCTGCTAGGTAGCTCTTTGTTATTTTATTTTCATAAGCGACCCCAGCCACTCGCAAGCGACAGCTCTGACGGAGCGGCTCGTCATCACGTGGGAATTTATAGCAGGAGACGAATACTCTCTAAACCTCGCAATGGTGATTCTCAATGTGGAGGATAAATAAACCGGGGGGAGAGATGCAAACTCCAAATATACAGCAGGCATCAGGGTCGGAATTTAACCCATGACCTCCTGTACACCAGGCGAGAGAGTTAACATCTCACATCCACCACCGCTTGTCTAGAGCATCAACCGTCGTGACATGCGGGAGTCCACAGCTGACTGCCGAATTTGGCTGTGAGAGTCAAGTGAGTGAGTGGGTGGGTGATTGAGTGAGTGAGTGGGTGGATGGGTGATTGGCTGAGTGATTGGGTAAGTGGCTGAGTGGGTGAGTGAGTGAGTGGGTGGGTGAGTGAGTGGGTGGGTGAGTGAGTGGGTGAGTGGGTGAGTGAGTGGGTGGGTGAGTGATTGGCTGAGTGATTGGGTAAGTGGCTGAGTAGGTGAGTGAGTGGGTGAGTAAGTGAGTGGGTGAGTGGGTAAGTGAGTGGGTGAGTGAGTGGGTGGGTTAGTGATTGGGTGAGTGGTTGGGTGAGTGGTTGGGTGAGTGGTTGGGTGAGTGGTTGGGTGAGTAAGTGGCTGAGTGGGTGAGTGAATGAGTGAGTGGGTGAGTGAGTTGGTGAATGAGTGACTGGGTGAGTGAGTGGGTGGGTGAATGATTGGGTGAGTAAGTGGCTGAGTGGGTGAGTGAGTGGGTGAGTGAGTCGGTGGGTGGGTGATTGGGTGAGTCAGTGGCTGAGTGGGTGAGTGAATGACGGTGCCCACGGTCATGACATTGTACGACCTGTCTCAGTGTCATCGCAGCAACCCCAACACATGGGGGGGGGGGGGGGACGGTGGAGGGGGGACGGTGGAGGGGGGGGGGGGAAGGTGGGAGGGGGGGGGGAAGGTGGGAGGGGGGGGGCAAGACAAAAATGGCCGCATCGGCCTAGCGGAGGATGAGGCCTAAGGGGGGCAGCAGTGTTGCCACAGAGACAGGAGTTGCGTTTCCATGACGACGGGCATGGCATCATGGCCTCCGTTTCCGACAAGCAGCAAAGAGAAGGCTTCAGGGCAGCACGAGTAGAGAAGCTCGAGGGGGGTGGGGTCGATTGGCTAGGTACGGTGTGAAAGAAGTTCAACATACAGTTCAACATACACACTCACGTGAGAGTGTGTGAGAGAGTGGGGAGTGGTGGTGTAGCGGTTAGCGCTACGCTGTGCTACGAACCCGACGACCCGGGTTCGATTCCCGCTCGCGGCCAACACCGGTAACGATTATCTGAACCGGTTCTGAGCCTCCCCTAGGTCGACTCAGCCTTAAATGAGTACCTGGTGTGGTGTGTAAGCATCGCCACTGGGGAGACAAAGGCGGCCGGGCGTGGTGTTGGCCACCCACCCCCTCGTTTGCTGTGGCGGCCTTCATAGGTGCTCGCTCACAGCACTTGCCCCAACAATCTGTTAAGGCTATAGGGGGGATCTTTGTCTTTGAGTCATAGTGAGTGTGTGAGTGATAGCGAGTGTGAGTGATAGTGAGTGATAGTGAGTGTGAAAGTGATCGTGAGTGTGTGAGTTAGTGTGTGGGTGGGTGTGTGAGTGATAGCGAGTGTGAGTGTGTGAGTGAGTGTGTGGGTCGGTGGGTGATAGTGAGTGTGTGAGTGATATTGAATGTGAGTGATAGTGAGCGTGTGAGTGATAGTGAGTGTGTGAGTGAGTGTGTGAGTGTGTGAGTGATAGTGTGTGTGTGATAGTTAATGTGTGAGTGAGTGTGTGAGTGATAGTGTGAGTGATAGTGTGAGTGATAGTGTGTGAGTGATAGTGAGTGTGTGAGTGATAGTGAGTGTGTGAGTGATATTGAGTGATATTGAATGTGAGTGATACTGTGACTAATAGTGAGTGTGTGAGTATGTGAGTGTGTGAGTGATAGTGTGAGTGATAGTGTGTGAGTGATAGTGAGTGTGTGAGTGATAGTGAGTGTGTGAGTGATATTGAATGTGAGTGATACTGTGACTGATAGTGTGTGAGTGTAAGTGAGTGTGTGAGTGATAGTGAGTGATATTGAATGTGAGTGATACTGTGACTAATAGTGAGTGTGTGAGTATGTGAGTGTGTGAGTGAGTGTGTGAGTGATAGTGAGTGATAGAGAGTGAGTGATAGTGAGTGAGTGATAGTGAGTGTGTGAGTGATAGACCCAGGTACCATTGGTTGATGACTGGCCAATGCACCACCTGTGCTCCCCACTGTAATCTCCCACTGTGCCAACTGCGTATTAGCCACTCTTGCGCTCCGCTCGTTGTTGTGAACGTCGCTCCTTTGCCCTCCGCTGTTGCTGGAGGGCGACTGCCTCCAACTGCCCAGTAGCGTCCTTCAAGAACCTCCTCCACAGAGGCCGATGTTGACATGGCTGGTACCAGTCATCGGCAAGTCCACTCAGCTCCAAGTCCTCCTGTACCACATCACTTCATCTCTTCTCTAGCCCGTGCTGCGTCCGTTTAGCCCCCTCGATCCGGCCGAACAAAAGCTGTTTAGGCATGCGGTGGCTGGGCATGCGGGCTACATGACTCAGCCAACGCAGCCTTGCCTGCCGGAGGAGCTCACCGACGGGACTTTGTCCACATCTTTCAAGGATTTATGAGCTCCTCACACAATGCAGCCTGGTTAAACCCAAGATGGATCGTAGGCAGGCCAGCCTAAATGTTTCTAACCGGCGAAGATGTTCCATTAGGGGGGTCCAAGTTTCGCAAGCGTAGAGAAGGGAGAGAATGACCGTGGCCGAGAAGACCTGAAGCTTCGTGCGGAGTGATAGACCAGGTAGCTTCCACACAGCGTTACGTAACCGATGAAAAGATAATGCGGCTCGACTGATTCAGAGTGAGATGTCTGCTGTTAAACCGGAGCCGGTCAGTAGCACACTTCCAAGGTATGGGAAACTCTCCACGCTCTCCACAACTGCCCCATCACCAATTGGGAGTTTTGGGGGTGGAGTGTCAGATGGTACATAGACTCACACACACATTGACCTACACAAACACACATATGGACTTACAAAGACACACATATCAACTAAGACACACACACACAGGGACTTAGACACACACATGGAGCCACGCACACACATACATAGACTCACACACACATATATCGACGCACACACACACATGGACTCTCACACACACACACACACATTGCCGTACACACATAGACTCCCACACAAACATACATGGACTCACACACGCACAAAGAGCCACACACACATGGACTGACACACACACATGTATGTACAGACACGCACACATGGACCAAAACACACACACAAAGAAATGGACCCACGCACACACAGCGACTAACACACACACACACACACCGACTGACACAAACACACATACATATCGAGTCTGACACACAGACACATGGACTGACACACACACACATTGACTGACACCCACAGACACATCGACCCACACGCACACATGGACTTAGATGCAGGCATTATAATTGTGAAAATAAGTAACCTAATTAAAAAATTGTAGTTGTCTACACACGCACACCACACACACACATTGACATAGTGACTGTGGTGGTACCTGCTAGCACTACAGTAGTACATACTGACTGTATATATATCGAATCTATAGCACAAAGTAGTAAGCAGACAAAGTGCCGTGGTGAGGCCTAGTCCCGTGCAGAGCCTCTGACCTCGCCTAGATTTCCCAGCCCGCCGAGGTGTGACCTTGGCAGGCTGGGGGCTGGGCCGCTCGCCCCGGCCACGCGACAATAATGGCATGTAAGCGCTATAATAATTATATGTAGGGGCTCTATAGTAGTTTCAGGACGCATTTGGGGTATCATTGGGGTGGAGTGGGGAGAAGAGGACATCGCACAGTGAAGAATGTACGTGTTTCGTGTGTTTTTGCTGCATGTGTAAGGTAAATGAATATTAGTGCCGATCGTGTGTGCGTTGCTAGGGGCAACCCATGTGAGCAGTGCAAAGTGTAATTAGATAAATGCTTATAAGACTAATGCGTGCGATTTACGGCTTATAGAAATGCATATAATACAAAAGTGTGCGACTTACCTTGGGCGATGGTGCGTGTGGATTGCTAGGGGTAAGCGAGTGGGCATTGTGCGCAAGTGCAGCTGGCTGCGTTGTCACCCAGCGCGCGGCGAAGGGAAGTAAATAAATAACAGATAAACTAAATAATTAAATTATACAAAATAAAAAAAACGCTAATTTTACTAATTTAAAGGTG